TATCGAAGATATGGCTGATCTCATTAACAAAATTAGTGCAGCGTGTGCCGCTATCACAAGAAGGACTCTCCTACAAGTGACCCAAGCTCATCTGTTAAAAGTTTTTGATAGTTGTGTTCGAGCAGATGGACATAATTTTGAACAAAATTTTTGAAATGTCTTATTATGTAATTAATTGCAATAATAATTTTGGTTATTAACTTGTAGGTATTTTACTGTTTTTTCATTTATTTATCATGTTATCAGAACTAAATCGATAAAAAATAATAAATAAAATCATACTAAAATAGTTGAAATCTATTGTTTGTAATTGCACTTAAAACAACTGCGATAACAATGGTTGCCATAGTAACTAACATTCATGGCATACTTGTAAAAATAAGCGTTAATCACATTTTTTATTAATCAAGAAATGTTTACTTTAAATCGGTATAACTTAGAAACGGGTAAAGTAAATAAGTTTGAGTAAATAACAAAAAAGTTTTTAAATAATATGTACTTTTGTATGCGCGTATTTCCAAAGTCTCTGCAATCGAATAATTTCTCGACGCGTCGCGACGCCCAGCTCTTTGCAGGCGTCGAATTTTTTAAACTTTAGGAAATATCTACTTGACCCCACACTTTGACTACTTTTTAAATAAATTAAATATTTCTTTTCGTTTTGGAGTTATTGGCGTGCGGAGTTTTAAGTGAAAAACCCTGTATATATATATATATATATATATATATATATATATATATATATATATATATATATATATATATATATATATATATATATATATATATATATAGAGAGAGAGAGAGAGAGAGAGAGAGAGACCGTCGATTGCCAACCGAACTAAAAAAACGTGCTAAAACACTGTGGTTTTTGAATAACATTTTTTTCGGAAAATTTAGACAAACGTTTCCCTGCATGACATCATAGGTATCGACAGATCGTGTAAAGATTTGCATTCCGGGACTTTCGGGGGAAACAATAAAGGGCAGACAGTTAAACAACCAAGAAAAAGTATATCCCATTAAACCAAAGGAAATGTATGAGTACTTTTTCCCGGTTTCGTATAAACAACGCCAAAATTCGAACAATCAACATTTAACACCAAAGACACTTACAATTAGATTTTGTCGTTTCCACGGATAATGCTATTTTCGAAGTAAAAAAAAAACAGCGCAGTAATTCGTTTTTGATGACGGTACGACATTTTTTTTTTTTGGATTTATAACAAAACCTGTTCCTCGTTACGGCATTTAAAGCACGAATAGTCAGCTGTTCTCACACAATCGTGCTTTAAATCGAAGCAAACAATTGCAAATAACAAATAATTGACCTAATCATGCATGAAGATTATTCTCACTTAAAATTAAAGTTGGCGTTACAAAGGGATCAAATTATCGGTCAGCTGTCATATCATTGACAGTTTGGTTTTCAAAAATCTCGAAATCGTTAAAAATGCAATTCTTCCCAAGCATTTCGAAATAAATTTTTTTCAGGCGAATTTTCAATGCAAACGGGTGACGCATGTAATATTAAAACTTTGGAACCGAAAAAAAAATGCCGCAACATATTGATTTCGTTTACTTGAAGCCGAAAATTTTGTTTGTCTATGGAAATCTTCACTTAGATGAGAAAAAAGTTCGATTTGCATTGAAAAAAAAGCGGGAAGTGGATGTTAAACTTCTTTGGAACGATCGAACCTAAGCGTTAGCAATCGATAAAATTTACGCCGACCGGATAAGTCTACGGTCAAGTAGACGCTATATCGTTGTAACATCAAACCTGACAGCATATCCAATGTGATAAGGCTAAGTAGAAACAATTTTGTTGCGTGCGAGCAAGTTTCGAGACCTTGGCAGGTGAGCAAACTTTAACTCAGCGAGAGAATTTTCAGAAGAGGCAATCGAGGTAACGTAATATAAGTTATCGATCGCTAAACTTGTGGCATTTGTTACGTAAAAACTTATCGTTTCCGATAATTTGATCGTTTTGTTTGGATTAGTTGAAACCCATCTGACTAAATTACACTCATGTGCAAAAAAAAGCAACAATGAAATTTTGACCAGCGTATAAATGTTACTCGTTATACAGGAGTAATTCGTTAAATCGTTGCTTCATGACTGTCGTTTTACAACGCCTCGCGGAATGTCCATGTTACCTATTTTCTTCAGTTTGTTTTTTGGATTTTTTGGTTGCTTTTATGCACTTCGGTCCATTTTTAAGGGCAAGATAAACATTCTTCTAATATCAGTATTTTTTCACTCATGTTATTCTATTAAGCGGCAGAAGACGGAAAACTACCCACACACTCCCTCAATATTAATGCAAAGTTGACGTATTTGCTAATTGCGGGTACAATAAATGAAGACTTTACAATGTATATGAATCGAGATATAATACATCCGTTATCTTCAGTTCGGTTATATATCAACTTTAAATCCATCTTCATGATTCTAAACTCTAAAAAAATCGTGGAAAACGGTTGTCTCCGAACATCCACGAAATACTCACTAAGCCCCTTTCCTACCTGTATAGCACAACAACTTTGAATCTTAGCCAGATTTAATAATATAATATAATAATAATTCACTTTGTAAAAGATCTTTTACATTGTTGCCTATAATTTAAAAACCGAATAATCGAAAAAATGCCTGAAATAAATGTTATAGCACTGGATGTTCTGCGTTGGTCATTAAAGAATTTTGCCAATCGGGTGAACGATTATGGAGGAAAACATATTTTTCTGGAAGCGAAAATTACAAAAAAAAATATATATTTTTTGAAAATACTTGGTAAAATACAATTGCACCCAAATTCTACCATTTAAATGTGGACAGGGACTTTTACTTCTCTGCTGAATAAGTTCATATCTTCAAATTTAGAACACTTAACACAATTCTTATTTAACACCCCGTACAATAGGTGAAAACTTTAAATACAAAAGTCTTAGCTGTCTATCCGAGCTAGATCCCACTGTAAAAATAAGTGACATCTGAATCATAGTCTTTCAGTTATAACAAATTTTTAATAATAGGGGGACCCATTTTTCAGTTTTTTCGAATTTGCGGCGCACACTGTATATTTCTGAAAAATCGTCAAGAATAAAAGTTTACCTTCTGCGTCTGTCCAAAAGGACAGACAAAAATATTTTTCTTTTGACGGTGATTATTTCTGTACAAATGTTCTATTACCGAGATATACAATTCTTATACGAACGTAGATACCTTCGAATTTTTCGAAAGTGACAAGAAAAATTAAGAAGTGTGCGGTAGAACTGTTAATTTGTGAACCGTTCAGTTGGGCCTAAAAGCTAGCATATTCGTAAATTAATTGACACTATGGATACGCCAGCAGTTATTAGAGTCAAACTTGGTAATACATTGGGTTAAGTCTAGTAAAAATGTTTCTTTAGGTTAGTTAAGTTGAAATTTGCTAAAAAAATAAACAACTCTATTTTCAAGTAGCTTTTATTTATTTTGTCCTTAAAAATGAACCGGTTCACATAGACATGAACCAAAAAACAAACTGTGGGAAATGTGAGGCCGTTAAAACCTTGGTTTTAAATAAACAGTGGGGAAACCTTCGTAAGATATTTGTAATATTGAACATGTCGAACCGATTGGGCAAATTGGCAGAGCAAAAAGCCCGAGATTGACCCCTATAAACGTCAATCACAGAGCCAAGCGCGTATATCCCCAATTTTAGATACGAGCAGAGATAAGGGTAGTAAAATAACGCCCACTTTTCGGAAGAGAAAATCGATATGAGCCTAATTCAACAACTACAAAAATTTTGCCGTGTTTACGACATTTTTCGAACGTCAGTTTAAACGGATAATTCATACCATTAAAGATATTTAAATTTTAAAGTTGCAATTTCTGTAATTTTTTGGCTAACGGTTTGACAGATACCAGAAAGATCTCTTGCTTTGTGAGTTTTCAGTAGTAGATACACCTAATTACTGGGCTCTCCGTCCACCGCCTGCGTAACGCAATACCTACGCCACTAACGTGAAGTAATATTTTGTTATACTTCGACCAGAAATATAGTGCTTTCACAGACGACCCAGTGAGTAACTTGGCCTACTGGTCATTACTCCAAAACCGCAGCCTCATATAGAACATCCCGCCGAGCAGACCCTTACCTATAACCATTCCAGGACCGTCCTAGGAATTTTTCTACCTACCATAACAAGATTGCTTTCGAAAAAAGAAAGATTACAATTTTCAATAAAGTTTATGGAGTCGTTTCCTCTGCGTCTTCTGGTTCAAGAATTTTTTCGGTCTTGCAAACGGTTTTTGAAAAATGGACTTTTTTGTAGACCCCTGCACACGCGATTTTTAATTTCTTTAAAATACTTTCCGACCCAGCCCCCCATTTTCAATAGGCTCCGCAAAGCTGTATAGATGTGTCAAATATGAAACTTTGGACACTAATCGTCTGTCATAGCAAGGTCCAAAAAACAATCGAAGATCGCGAGAAAAAGATAGATACCGGCGTCGGATCAGGGTCATTTCTTATAAGCTTATATGCCTCATGGAGGGTTAAAAAGAAGGAAAATTTCAACGCTGTAGCTCCAACGGTTCGAAAGTTATTCAGGAAAAATTTAGAACATATTGCAATTTAGATTAAAATCTAAGAATCGTACATATCACCTATTCGTTACGGTCCATCTCAGGGAAGACCTATTTAATGCCGGATAAACATCTGTTGGGATGGGTTTTACCACGGTCCTGCGAGGGTCTGTCAAAGCAATAAATGAACTATATTTTTGGTCGTATTGTATCTCAAAATCTCCTCCGGAGTATGGAGGACATGGAAGTCAGGTATAGCTACTACTATTAAAAGAATTTTGATGCTGTTTCAACAATGGTCGAGATATTTGGTTCCGATACGCACGCCTATGCCGACATTATGTGCTATCGGATATCTTATAATCGATGGGTTTCAATTAATCGGTTTTGATTAATCCCGAAGTATACACAAGATGTCGGTTACTCACCGCATCTAAATTGACGTCTGCCATGGCGTTAGGTACACCGTTAGGCATGTCGGAGGATAAACTGGACGGAGCCAGTGTCGTCTCCTGTTTGTTGGCGATGCTGACAGACGCCGAGGTCGCTGCACTGACGTAACTGGCAGCAGATGAGGTCGCGGCGCCGTTTTGAGGTTTCGTCGCGTCCAGAAGAACCTTGAGCGATGCGATCGCGTGCAGTTGCGTCGCTTTTTCGTCTACTTTGCCTGGAAAAGTTTTTACAAAGTCTATTAAAAATGGTGCCACTTGAGAAAATACAAATGCAAAAAATAATCAAAAGGGACATTCGAAAACATTCTAGAAGCAGGAACGACCCATTTTTTGCAGTATTCGCTACCCCTTTCCAGGGTTTTTCATCCAACCCGTATATTAAAAGCTCAATGGGTTGTAATTTAGAAACCCCTTTCGACATTTGTACTTAAAGTAGGTTCCAAATGTACTTCTTCTTTGAAATATTTTCATCGGCTTAACCAGAAGTTGCAGCCAATTTGCCTAATTCAAATGGAACACATAAATACTGCTTTGCTAAATATACATATTATCATACTACTATCAGACGGTATGAATTTTAAAACGCAGACATCCAGCATAGCACGATACTGTTCAAGCCTCAATTTGATGTAAAGCAAATTACCTTAAAAACAAGATTGCTTTCGAAAAATAGTCACTGGGCGGGGCAAGTTCGTAGGGCAGAGTGCGAAGCAGCTTTTTATTTTAACAAGAAAGCATTTCGCGATTTCTTGTGCTAGAGGGACGCATTGCTTTCTATATTGCTCCTCCGGACCACTATGGAACTTTCGCAAAATCGATGTAATTTTAGTACGCATACACCCTCTATGAAGCATCTTTTAAGTCTCGCCGAACTTCAAAGTACGGCAGACTTTCATAAATGTTGTAATTTGTACAAATAACAGGTATTTGTAATGTTTTTATTTTTTCAATACCTCGCGCACCCTGTATGATAGACGAAATCTGGAACTCTTTCGATGCAGTTTACGATACTGTTTAAACCAAATTATTCCTTTTTTTATAGCTTTTTATTAACGGCTAATAATTTACCCACGAAAAGGGCAATTTTCAGGGTCTTTTTGATTTTTTGTCCATAATCGACACACCCTGTATATAATTGAAAAAATGCCACAAATAGAGGTTTTAACTCTGGATCTCATTTTTTTCAATGGAGTAAATGCAGTGCGCGTCAACGCGTCTAAATTGGGCGCGAGAATCAGCGACTTTCATATGGATTTTTTCAAATATCCCGAGCAGCGTATGTGATAGACGAAAACTGCAAATACAAAAATGGTGGCTCTTCATGCGGTCTATAACCCTGTTTGAACCGATTGGCCATATTTTTTACGAATTATGATTTGCGGTTAACAATTTATACTTAAAAAGTACAATTTTCACGGGTCTTTTAGATTTTTGTCCACAATTGAAAAACGCTGTATATAATCGAAAAAATGTCAAAATTAAAAGGACGTTTCTAAATTACATCTCAATAAACTGTTAATGAACGGGAGCAGTGACAAATCCTGTATTATCTATCTAGCTAATAGCTAATAGACGGAACCTATTCAAGCATAGAAGGCAAGTTTTGCAATCTATATTATCTTTTTTTTTGTCCGCATGCGACAAACTAAATAAATGAATCTACTGATACTACTGATCGGGCTGCTTTGAGCTGTGGTATGACTCCTTCAATACCGATAGAAAATAATGTTTTCTACGTTTTTTTAGAATATTGTTGATTAATGCAGTTTCTTGCATTAATCAACAATATTTTAAAAAAACCTGGCATGACCCTTCGAGATTAAGAAGCTTCCAGAAATATAATCGAATTCAGGTATAACTAAATCGCATGCAAACAAACTAAACTGTCACGTCATATAATCTAAACCTTATATCATTAGAGATAAATTCTTTACTTTGATACAAATATCTATTTCATGTTCTTTGAGCCCTGTTGATATTTTTTGTCCACACAAATTTTAAACCAAAATTTTCAATAAAAAATTCTTTTGAATTAATCAACAAAATTAAAGTCATCAAAATCCCTTCTAACGCAACACTATTGTTTTTTGATGTACAAAATTTATTTCAAAGTATTCCACCTATGGATGTGATAGATTTAGTAGGTTTCACCTTCACTCGGAAACAGTTTAACCCACTGGTGAAACAAGATTTATTAGATTGCTTAATAGTATCTTTAGACCAAAATTATTTTGAATTTAATGAACAGATTTACATCTCTAAGGAAGATTTGATTATGGCAAACCCACTTAGTCCTTCGTTAGCCGAGATATTTATGGATAATTAATAATACTAGAATATCCTTTAAGTAAAAGTTTTCTGTGGTGGTATAGATATGTGGATGATGTCTTTACTTGCCTTGTTGGAACGGACAGATAATTGAATTATTTTTTAAATTACATTAACTCATTACATAATCATATAAAATTCACTATCGAGATTGAACAGGATAACTCTATTAATTTTTTAAACTTATACGTACAAAATGCCTGCATTTCACTATTTTATACACAGACTTCTTAATCCGCCACTCTCAACAGAAAATTACAACAAAGAACTTAATATCATTAGACAAATTGCACTGAACAACGGCTGCAATCCGTATATTATAGATAAAATTATAAATAAAAAACAAATCCAGACAACAGTAAACTCTATTTATCCAAAATTTAATACAGGATACAAACAATTTCATACATAGGATAACCTAGCGAAAAAGTTTCAAAACATTTGTCAAAATGTTGTTTAAAAATAACTTTCAGAACTAACAACACAACAGGAAAATTTTTACAAAACTATAAAACGAAATGTCCAAAATCTCAAAAATCAGGTGTCTACAGGTTAAAATGCGGATCTTGTCCTAAAATTTATATTGGACAAACAGATAGATCCTTCAAGAAACGCATTAACGAACATAAAAGAGCGTTTAAAAACAATATTCTAGATTCTACTTATGCTGCACACTTAAATAAAAAAAAACACATTTTTGACGACAATTTTGATATTTAACATACAGCCACAAAATGTAGAAAATTAAATTTATTGAAAACCATGGAGATTAACAAAATGAGACATTCCAATGTATTGCTTAACTATCATTTGGATTTAAATACCTCTCCTTTATTGAACTTAAATTCTCACAACAATATTAATTAAAGTTTTGTGGTCATTTTTCGGTATATATAGTAGCATGTAATTTGTAAATATTACATTTGATAAAGACACGGTCCAAACAACTGTCATGTCAAAATATATAACACAGTTCACAGTTCGTAAAATATGGCAATTTCGAGGTATTTGACTCAAAAGGAATTAGAGGCGGCTATAGAGGGGATCGTGATTTATGAGGACACTAACAATGAAAGTCGTAAGTATTATTTGGATTTACGTATTCTAATTCAGGTCAGATTAAGTACACTCAGACACCTATATCCAATGAATTTAGATCACGCGAGGAACTAAAAAATAGGCTTTCTGGAAAAACTCCGCTTTAAATATTTTTTATGTTTATGTTTATGTTTATTGCTTTACGATCTTTTAAAAACTGATAAAATCTTCCACCTGCCATAGATGAAGTGCGTTATGATAATCAAGGTCACCTCATGATTGTTCATGTGAATAAAGCCCGAAGGAGATGTAGAAACTACCACAGCCATACAATTTACGTTTGTAATAAGTGTAATGTACATTTACATACTTCATACTTTGTAAAATATCACCAAAAATGACACCGGGTGTTATCAGTGGTGCACTCAAGCACCATGAAATACTATGCGTTTTTTTTTGTATCAAATCAGTTTTTATTTGGTTATTTTCTGTCGGATTTGAACTTTCTTTTGTACATTTATATATAAATTATATGTTACATCTTATGTGCCCAAAACATTATTTAATGTTTTTTTCCCATTAGTTCGTTTACGCACCAGCATTTTTTTTGTATATTTCGAGTTTTTTTTTACACACGTAATGTATTCTTAAATGCAATAAAATAAATAATTTCAGAGCAAAAAAAGGATTTTTTTATTTTTTTTATAATAAAGTAAGTAAAGTAAAATAGTAGGATATTATTACCAGAATATGCTACTAAACATCTTGGGATAATATGTGTTAAGTACAAAACTATATGTTTTTCCTGTAAAGGGTTTTAATAAAGAAGCTTGATATTTTGCTAGAGAATATCTTGGAGAACCAATTGTGCTGACAATAAATAGAAGGGGTAGTCCTGGTTTCTGAATTTTAGGGAGTCCGTAGAGACGAGGAATTTTAGAGTCTTGAGGGGTGACAGACTTTTTCACGGATTCTCATAAAGAAGAAGCCTTAATAGCAGATTTCATAGATGACGCAGAACAACTGTAAGAATGGGACAACGAAATTTTATATTTTGTCTTATTATGTATTGCATTTATCGGTAGGTCTTTTTGACGAAACAAATGTACCTATTTCAGGTACCAATATTGTTGTGAATTTCATCAATTAACAAAAATAAATAAAAATCACACTGGAGACATAACCTGGGTGGCCATTAAGTTCCCAAGAGGTATTTCGACAAAAGGACCGTGCGTGAAGGTTATTTCAATTACAGAAGTTAATTTAGTGTAAATTTTGATCAGAAACTTCATCAGACAGAACATTGAGAATCGACAAAACGTTAAATGATTCATTACCCTCAAATTAAATTACACAATCAAATCAAAACTCGTCTCCGAAGTTAGGCATCCACGCAGATTCCTCCCGGTCTGAATAAAATATCGTCTAGGAGTTCCTTAATAATTAAACTACAAAGGAGTTTTCAAAGTGGCACAAAGTTGCCCTTTTCAATTTTTAATGGCAGACGACCTTTAGGCAGCTTGCCAGCGCATTCCTTCCGTGATATTTGTAGGGCCATAAATCCCAAATTATTGAACAATACGTTACACCAGCATTATCCATGATCATGTGGAACTGAGCTGCTATCTCCGAACCGCTTCGAAAGGAATAATTTATCGCCGAATGGAATGAAAATTTTTCAATTTGCACAGCCATGGTGAGATTCTAAAATTTTTTGGGGGCTTGTAGGTTGATACCGTAGCAAAATTTGCCACAGTGTTGGAGATTGGACTCTACCGCAAAAAGTAATTAATTGTTGCTTTTCATTATGCAGATAGCACACAATATCCCCAGTATATCAGGTCAATGTCCCAGGACATGTGGAGGATATTCTTAGGGTATACGTTAGCATAAATCCTAAGGATATACTATAAAATACATCACAGGTATATCCTCTGAATGGATAGCTTGCGGATTTACTGTGCACGATATACCACAGATATCCTCTAAGTAGATAGCATAGAATAGAAATAATGGAAAAAAGGCCGTAAAACAAAATGAAACCTAAAAAATTATATTTTTAGTTATATAGGATAGTTGGTATATTTTTTTCTTAAAATCGATGCAAGAATCACTTTCTATACCGAAAAAAAAGGGCACATCAGGTAACAAAGTAAGGAATGTACGCCGACTTGTAATTAATAGAGTTCCTTACCTTATCAGAATTCCTTACCCTAATAATCTAATTACCGTCGTCCTAAGTATATTTCTTGTAATAAGCGATTATGTTAATGCCTTTATCGGTAAGTATAAAAGCACGTCATTGATTTGGCAGAAGCCTCCGCAAAAATTAGTGTTTGCAAATCCAAACCCAATTTTCCCTCTGTTGTTATTTTTTTTTGTCCACAATCACAATTTTTATTTTGGAAATGTTGACCTCCAGTCCAAGTTTCCTAATTACACGCGGATCTAGCTTGCGGCAAGCGTCATTTTACCACGTCAGTTTCGTTTCCCACGGATCCGAGCCACTTCGGACATTTCCGGAATTTTACCGCGCTGCTTTGTGAGAAATCGGATTTATCGGGAGATATTTTCCACTCCTTGAGTTTTGACGTTTATCAATTCTGGCGGGGATGTCAGTGAAATGTTAACTAACGGTCGTAGAAAAAGTATAGTATGCAACACGTTCACATTTGGAGGACTAATTTAACGAAATTCTTGGTGGTGTGATTGTGTAGCAAGTTGAGAGATATTAGAAGCTATGGAACGCAAGGGGGATGGATCGTTGCAGTACTGGCGGATTGTGGCCGTTAAAAATCTGTTTAAGCAAGTTTTTCTGCGAAGAAGGAGAGACATTCCAAAAATAAATGCACTTAACAATCGTTTGGGACTTTCTTATTTAATTTATATTTTTTAATTGTGTTTTTGTTCATGTGAAATTTTCATTTACTAATTCTCTTACTGTTGATGAAAAATTTTTAAATTTAGGAGGCCTAAATTATTCAGAATCAAACAATTCATGCTACAACGTGACGAGACACACAGATAAAAAAAGAAACTTAAGCGCTACCTGCATACTGACCATCGTGAAGTGGGTCGATGGTATGGATCATAAGCTGAAGGAGACCGTGACGGAATTTCGCCCCCGTATGATGGTGGCCTGAGGTCGATGGCGGCACCTGCGGGGTTTCTGAGGCAGTTCGTGACGTCACGCTGCCTCCCGGCTGGGTACCAACGCTTGTCTCGCTAGATGTCGCTACTGTGCCGTGCTGTAAAATAGAAACCCGTGTGTTATGATACGTCATAATATGCCTAACCAGAACTAACTATATATTTCCGCTAAAATGTGAGAACGCTAGCAGCACCAAAATAGATTACTTTTCTAAAATACCTTTTTTTGACATTTATTGTTTTACTTTTCTTTTTATTTTAAATTGTAAGTTTTGTTTAAAAAAAAAAAGAAGACACAGATTTCACTTCATGCCCCTTTTAAATTAGTTAGGGTATCTTCGGTCGGTTTCCGCCAATTATTTGAATAATATAAAAAAATATATACAGAAAACATTTTAGTTATTAAGATAAAAAATAAAAACATTGTCATCGTTGGCTTTTGACCCAACGCTTATACATACAGCATAGTCAAAGTTGCATTAAAAATATTTGTAAGTCAAACATCATAGGGTAGGACAAGAAATACAAAATTTGCACAAGAGTACTCTTATTCCAAAAAATTTAACAAGGAAAAGTTATGCCTTAATACCAAAACAGGTCACACTGAGATAAAAAAAGGTTTTTGTGCAAAAATATATTTTTTTTCATTTACTTTATCTCATTGGTAAAATTAACTAAGATTTTTATTTTTTTAGCTAAATACAGATTTTATATTTGTTGGGACGACATGGAGTAACACCTAAAAATGTTATATATTATAATATTGGGAAATCGTCATTTAAAAAACAACATTTTTATTTTAAACAATAATGATTAAAGTAAATAAAATATATAAATACTAAATAAAAAACTAAACTTAAAAAAAAATGAAAAAATTATAGATTCACACACACTTAGAAGGCATACGCAGGACGTCTAAGCAAATTTTCTTAAATACATTTGTGCAATTTTTGAATTTTTATGATTATTCTGGTTGTGCAATTATCGTCACTCTGCATAAGCTTAAATGTTCACCTTGCATTTGCAACATCATTTAATTAATGTGTTATACGGGGATACATTGTTCTTTGTACAACTGGACTGCAAAAAAAAGTAGACGATAAGTATACACTTTCTGGAACGAAAATGGGAATAAAAAATGTTGCCCAAATCTATCCATTCCATTGCTTTCATCACTTTGCCAGAATCTACGATAACTGATACATTTTTTTTACAGATTGATAGATAATAATAAAAGTATAATAAACACCAACAGGTAACTACTAATAATATCAATATAGAGCAAGTAAATTCTCACTGTAGATGAATTTTTAATAGGTTTTAATAATAGGCATTGCCTACGTCTGTCTACTTTAGACAGAGACGGTAACTCCGTAAGCGATCCCAAGCCCTTTTGAGCTGTCAAATTCCCCTCCGGCTTAAATTCCTAAAAGCACGCGAATGCGATTGCACAGAATAATTTAGGATACGCAAAGAATCACTTTACGTAACAAACTCCGCACGAGTTTGCCGTTTCACTTGATCTAGAAAAGGAATACACACATGCGAGGCGAAATGATCTTAAATTTCTGGAGTGGTGTTGCCAGTTTGAAGTACAGTGAAAACTTCGTATAGTGTATAACGTAAACTGTGTATTACGAACAAAATTTGTTGTACTATTAGGTCTGCATACAAAGCCATGTATTAATCCACTCTGTATAACGAATTTCTCACTCTCCATACCGAAAGAAAAAAAGGCACATCAGGTAACAAAGTAAGGAATGGAGGCCGACTTGTAATTAATAGAGTCCCTTACCTTCTCAGACTTCCTTACCCTAATAATCTAATTACCGATAACCTGGTCGCTCTAAGTTCCTTAATGCCTTTTTCCATATGTATAAGAGCATACCATTGTTTCAATCAGTTCTAATTTGACTCTAGATGATAAAGTTGCTTTAATTCGGGAGATAGAACGGGGAGAAAAGAAAAGTGATGTGGGACGTTGATACGGAAAAAATCATTCAGGCTGAAGCGGCAGGCAGTTCTAGTAAAAAACTAATAACGCCAAAATTTGTTGCAGTGGTTCCAACAGCAACGTCTTAAAAATGTACCACTCTCTGGACCTATCCTAAAACTAAAAGCAGAAAAGTTTGCTGAACAGCTTGGTATTATCGATTTCAAGGCTTCGGAAGGATGGTTGGGGATGTTCGAACAGAGACATGGTATAAATTATGAACAGATAAGTGCCGAAGTCCGTGATGCCGACAGAAACGTCACTAACGATTGGCTGGAGAAGACGTGGCCAAAACTAGTAGCATTAGTAAAGCTTGGAAAGAGGTGACAGCAGAAACAATTTAACACTCATATCGCGATGCAGGACTTATTACCGAGACAAAATGCGAACAGGACTTGGAAGATGATCAGCCACTAAGGGAGTGGATAAAGCAGTTTCAAACAACAATTACGTTTACAAGTGAGGAGTTGCAAGGTTTTATGGTGATAGATCAGGATGTGCCTACAACAGCAGACTTAACAGAGACATATTACAACAAGCCCTATATTCAGTTAAGCTGCTAGAGAAAATTTCTATGTATCATGGGGAAGATGCCCCTCTCGAAGAAATGGTGAAAATACAAGCCAAAGTACGAGATGCGTATTGACATACTAAAAAAATAGGCATAACTTACGTTACGTACTATATGAAAAAGATGATCCGCAACGACTGCGCCAAAAAGCTAATTCTAAACGCGTTTCTTTGCACTAGATAGTTTAGAATGTGTTGAAAGGTTTGCCGATTAATTCTGGCGACTTTCATAGAACTATTCATCACGACAAACACCATATGGGAGGATAATGGAATTTACACTTAGGGACGAAAAGCTTTGCAATGTACAGGGCTATTCATTATATTTTCACACCCACCTGCAGGGCTACTTTTGAAAGATATAAAAAAAAGTGTAAACAAGTTTAAAGATTTCTGCTCCATTATCTTATGTAAATTTCAGAAAAAACAAACCACGATCGCAAGCTATCAAAGTGACAGCAGCATCTTTTTTTTTAATGGAATGGAATAATTAGCTTAAACCGTGGATATTTTTTTCCTAATTTCAAAAACATATAGTTAACAGACATTTCATTTAGCCGTTTTTGGGCAAGTCTGCCTTGATAGCAACAATATTACCTATGTTTGCCATTTTTTTAACAATGTTCTCCTTTTGACAACTAATCAAAACTAAAGATCTGCAGCGTAAGTTGATTAACTTCAGATATTTCAGAAAAACGCAAAATAATAATAATAGATAAAATTATATTGTTCAAATGGACATAATGTCGCAATTAAAAATGTAATTAAACAATTTGAGGACCGAAATAGTGTAATACGGACAGACCAGGACAATAGAAAGAAATTTTCTTCAGTTTCAGTAAAGCTCTGAAGAAGCCAACAGGATTATTGGCGAAACGTCAGCAATTTCGACTAAGGAAAAACCGACGCAGGAGGAATCGAGAAGTTTTGTAAAAAATGAAATATCTTATAACTCAATAAACTCTATGTTTTTGAAATCGAAACAATTGTCACGTCAAAATATATAATTTCGTGAAAATCTGAACTTTTAGTTCTCATTTATTTAGTTAAATGGATTTTCATCAAGTAAAAGCCACTTCAGTTCAATTTTTGAAAGAAGGTGAATTTTAACAAAAATCGTCATTGTCGGTAGATGTGGCCTTTCTAAAAATCTGGAATTCAATTCTTTGCCAGATAAACATTCTTGAGTATATCGAAATCTTCAAACATTTTAACAGCATAAACCGCGATACAAGTTTTTAAATTTAAAAATTAAGTAAATAATAGAAGCAATTTTCAAACAGTATGTTTTGAGTTTTATCTTTCATTTATATCAGCTTCAAGTCAGGCTTTTGTGTTTAGGTTGCGACTTTTTTATATTTCTTAATTTAAAAAAATATACAATTCTTGTCTTAAAACCTATGCATTCTTCAGAGCATCGAATTACTTAGCCACCTCCTAAGTGTTTCGCATGTCTGTGCAGATTTAAACGTTCGTGTAATAAATTTAATTCTAACTTTTAGAGGCTTTGTATCCGACTTTGAAGGAGACTCAAATCTGCTCAAAGGGTATTACGTTTCCTCATCAAAAACTCTTCCTGCAAAGTTACTCAAGGCTTAAGGAGAGTGCAAGGAAAGCAGCTTAATATCGGGGCCCGGACGTTTATTAAAATTTAATTTCGATCTTTGTTGCTTATTTGCAATTTCACTTTTGTTTTTAAAATTTTAGAAAAGTAATAATCTTTAATAACTTTTTATCAAAATCGGAGCACAAATTTAGTGAGATACACTGTATGCCGAATAAAACGATAGACTATACGATCTGGAAACTCATAGCAGATACGAAAAAAAGTTCCATACAAAAGTTTTCTGGATTCTCCTGAAGATTTTGATGATACAGGGTGTCCTAAAAGTGTCCCCCCAACATCAACTTTGTTATTTTAAATAGAACATCCTGTATATTTCGGCACTTTTTGAATCCTTGATTAAAATAAAGGTCACTTTCTTAATAAATTCCTACTCGAATTTTGCACAGTTTAGGCAGAAATTGAGGTAACGTGTTTTTTATTTTATTTTGATTGCTCCATATAAAATTGTTTTGTGACGCTACTGATAAAAGTATTGCAACAAAAATTTAACCGCAAAATAAGGAGATGATACACTAATCAATCAGTTTGACAAATGCGCCTCAGTTTATACCGGGTGTCCCAAATAGGTGGCGCCGGTGGGTAAGAAATTTCAATAAGTAAATCTATAAAACAGAAAGTGAACTAAAAAGAGTTCGTTAATTACATCCATAAAGTATAATTAGCAATGTTCCTCTTAAAACGCTGGCTTCATCTGGCATCAAAACAACAAAGAAATATCAAAATATTTGAAAATGTAGTTGGCTATGACATCACAATCTTCTTTTTTTATGCATTAAGATATAAAAAAACTTTGACATTTCTGTTATTTAAGAAGTATGTGGGCGGCTCTAAATTAAACATGAATTTATACGGGTGTTATCTTAAACCTCGAGTATTTCGATCAGCCTTCGGAATATGTATTAAGTCAA